CTTGTAAAACAAGCTTCTAAGTACCTTATGGTAATAGGGTTTCTTGCTTTATGAAAAATACTATTGTAATTTGTTTCAAATAGGATTACTTTTTATGTGATACGGCAATTTTCATTCACCTTTCAAACAGCTGCTGAGAAAACAAAAGGGATTCCTTCATAAAGACATGAACACAATTAAATCTGGATCCCGTTTTTAGTTCTTTACTGGTATCCTTTTACCCCCTCCTTTGACTCATTTATCTTTTATGTTTGTCTAACACAACTGCATCATCCCTGTTTGAAATAAGACTAACTTAAACTTTCCTGTTAGTAACAGCAAGGTGGTTTTTATCGTACTAAACCACAGAAATCCCTTGCAAGGCTTTTTTTTTTCCTCAGTTTGTTTCTGAAAATGGCAGCTGAGTGAAAAAAAAATATGGTTATCTGTGCTAAATGCTGTTCATGCTACAGTTCCAACAAACTGGTCACCCAGACTGCCTGGGATGGGAAGATGGACTGGCAACGGAGATGGTGGGAAAAGGAGCATGGTGAGAAAGAAGTGACTTGCTCAGAGAAGGGAGAGGATGTGTGAGAGACTACACAGCTTGGAACTTCCTGAGGGAAAGGTCAAAAATTTTTAACAAGTTGGAACAACTGCCAGATTTTTATGCTGATACTGTGGCTAAGAGGAAGCAGGTTCTGTAAAGCTCCAGTTTGATGGGAGACACAAGGGCTTACAGCCAAAGAGGAATTTAACTGCTCAGTGCAACCCTGCCCGGACGTTTATGTACTGATTAGACTGACGAGAAGAGTTCATGGGTTTGGGTTCTAGGTTTGGGTTCCCCCCTTCCACAGACTGTCCCTCATTTCATCATGAGCTTCCTCTGTGAAATTATCCCAGAGACAGATTGCTGCACCCATCCAGCATGAGGATGTGAAAGGAATGAGGCTTTCTTCAGACTGAAGCAACAACTGGGAAGGGAAGAGGGAGAGGAGGGAGAACATCTGAACATCTCAGAGAAAATCCACCAGCTCTGACCCCTAAATCAGAAACTTCACTTTAAAATCTTCTGGTTTTCTGTTTTGGATACAACCCTTAATTCATTTTGCTTCTACAAAAGGGAAGCAGGCAGCCTTCATCTCTCTGACTAAACATGTTTTCTCACACTGGCCCTAAGTAGATGCTTTTATCTGGTGAGATCTGAGTGAAATAACCAAACACACCTTAGAAAAACATCCCTCTCTTACAGTCAGATGTCACATTACTCCATAGGTCATTATTTTTATCTTTTTTGGCTCTCAAAGTGTGGTAGTTTCACTCTGGGCCTTCCTGGAGACTGGCTTGTGACCAGGAAGGAACTAGGAAGGTGATCACGGAAGTATTCCATGC